GCTCTGTGCCCAGTCCGAACCGGAACTGAACTCACAGCCACCTCCTTCCCAGCCCTCCAAGAATGTCTCGCGCTCTGGCCCAAGCTCCAGGACGCCCCTCAGGTCTCCCAGCACTCACCTCGGCTTCATCCCACACGGTCGCCATCTTCTCCTGCCGAGTCACTGGACTCTCGGGCGTCGGCAGCAGATTCATTTCCTGCATGAAAAGGCCGAAACTGGGAGTGCGCCCGAGCCCCTGCGGGAGCCCAGCGCAGCCTTTCACAACTCCCTCTCTGCACCAGTGGCGAACTTCACCCACGATTCCTGACTCGACAGAATAAGCTCCCTCTCCAGTGCCGAGCGAATCTGCCGCTCGGACTCCAGGAACCAAACCGGGCCCCAGAACCCGCCCCGTAGCTCACCGGTTGCTCCGGTTTGTGCGGTAGCGATAGGTGGGTTGCTATTGGCCGACGCGCGTGGCAGGGCGGGGCCTGGTGCACAACCGGAAGAGGCGGGAGAAAGGCGAGAGTCGCGGGGTCTTTCGGGAAATGCAGTTTTAACTTGGCGGGTAACTGAAAAGGATTTTGCGAGGCGCATGTTCAATCTTAGGATCTGGGTCAACTCGGACCTGAAAGATTTGTAAAATGCCGGAGATAGAAGCGCTCACCTTTAGTCCCAGCACTCGAGAGGCAGAGGCAGGAGGATCTCGAGAGTAGCCCGGTCTACAGAGCCCGGTCCAGGACAGCCAGGACTACACAGAGGAAATCCTGTCTCGAAATAAAATAAATAAATAAATGAAAGAAAAAAGAAAGATTAGTAAAATGGCACTGTCTCCCCAACTATAAACGATACATCCAGTCGTGTGCAAAGAACCAGAAAAGAGGAATGTCATGCCAACTTATGCCACATTTTTACAGCTATATATACCCTGCACCCCCCAATTACTGAAGTAAAACAATAAACAATTTTTTAAATTATTGTTTATCGTGTGTGTGTTTTGTGTACGTGTGTGTGTGCGTGTAGGGGAAGGGTGACATTGTGTGACTGGAGGTTGGCATTAAGTCTTCATCACTTCACCCTGTATACTAAGACATGCTCTCTCGCTGAACCTGCAGCTCGCCAGATTGGATAGGTAGCTAAGTCAATTTGCCTGAGGATCCCGTTTTTGTCTCCTGAGTGCTGGGATTGGTATTTACAACTGTGATGGAGATCGGATCTCAAGCCAGCACTAGGAAGACAGAGGAAGGCAGATCTGTGAGTTGGAGACCAGCATGATAAAACAAGAAGTTCTATGCTAGGCAGCTTACAATGACCTGTAATTCCAGTTTTAGGGGTATCTAACAGCTTCTTCTGGCTTCTTCAGACATTGAACATATATGGTGCACATAAATCACATAGGTACCTACACACACACACACACACACACACAATAAATAAATAAATAATTTCTAAAAGAAACTGTCAAGCTGGACGGTGCTGGCACACTTGGGTAGTAGAGGCAGGTAGATCTCTGAGTTTGAGCACAGCTTTGTCTATAGAGTGAGTTCAGAACAACCAGGGTTACACAAAGGAAACCCTGCCTCAAAAACAACAGCAACAAATAAACAAAAAAGAGAAACTGCCAAGTATGGTGGCACATGCCTGTAAGTACAGAGTGAGTGCCAGGACAGGCTCCAAAATTACACAGAAAAACCCTGTCTCAAAACAAAACAACCTTATTTCAAAAACCTAGATTAAAGCACTGTGTAACAGGGCCCCAGACCTCAGTACAACTGACTCCATGATGGAAAGAAGTACCATAAAATGCAGCACATACACAGCAACTGCCAAAAGTAAACAAAGACCTAATCCATCAAAGTCCATATAGTTCTGGGAAAGTCTCAAAATGTACTAACCTTGCTTTTAGCTTCTGTAGTTCTACTTCTGGCTAACTGTTCTTGTTTCTACAGTATGTCAACCCAGAACATGTTTTTTTTTTTTTTTTTTTTTTTTTTTTTTTTTTGCTTAAAAGCTCACCCTGAGAAAGCCTCGGGACTACACTGGGATCATGAACACCCTGTGTAGTGGTAGGCTAGTAAAGATTTCTGTTGACTTAAAGCCATGTCTAGTAATACCCCTCAACAATTGCTTCTACTAATATTAATGCAGCTCCACCAAACTGTCCACATAGGAAGAACTCAGTTGGCAATGCCTGTGCAGTTAAAAGCAGGACTCAGGTCTTCAGCGTTTGTTTGTTTTTTATCTTCATAGAGACCTTGGTGAGCAGGGCAGATCTCCTTTGAAGATTTATTTGTGAGTATGAGGTTTTTTTTTTTTTTTTGCCTGTATGTCTGTGTACCTCATGTATCTAGTGCCTAAGAAGGTCAGAAGAGGACATCAGATTTCTCTGGAACAACAGTTACAGATGGTGTAAGCAGCCATATGGTGCTGGGACCCAAACCCAGGTCCTCAGCAAAAGCAGCAAGTACTCTTAATTTTGAGCCATCCCTCCAGCCTCTCTTTTGAACAGCATGAGACTGGTTTGTTATGCTTGTACCTGTTACTCAAGAGAATCTCTATTAGTTTGAGGTGAATCCTAAGCTCCTGTATTATCTTCATGGAAGTCACATAGCTTATATTAAAAGTGAAGACATCAGGCTGGATAGACGGCTCAGGGTTAAGAACACCAGCTGTTCTTTCCAGAGGTCCTGAGTTCAATTTCCAGCAACCACATGGTGGTTCACAAGCATCTATAATGAGATCTGGTGCCCTCTTCTGGCATATAGGGATGGTTGAGCAAGCATAAGGACCTGAGTTAATTCACAGCTTCTGAATACAGTGCGATGGCAAGCACCAATAACCCTTACACTGAGGAGGTGGAGGTAGGCAGATAGATGCCTAGAGCTTGCTAGTCAAGGCAGCCAGTCTAGCTGATCTGGTGAGTCCCAGGTCCCAGTGAAAGACTTTGTCTCATATGGTGGCTAGAAACACTTGTATTCTAAAATGAGAGTGCCACCGCACTCACAAACTTACGGCAGCTGTGATCACCTGTTCAAGACCTGCACAAGATCAAGCAATGATGGAGGAAGAGCTCATGAGACCCCACCACCAGCTGAGGAGCTACTGGTAACTGATGATTGCTAGGGAAGGGATGGTTGTATTTTCTTTGGAGGGGTGTGACCACTGTAAAGTTGCCCAAATGCTAGTAGATGGCCCTCACATTCATGTGTATAAGGGCAGCACTAATTGGATTCAATGGGCTATAAGAAAGAACAGTTAAGCCAGGCAGTGGTGGCATACACCTTTAATCAGTTGTTAAAAAAAAGAAAAAAAGCTGGGTGGTGGTGGCTCACACCTTTGATCCCAGCACTTGGGAAGCAAAAGCAGGTAGATCTCTGTGAGTTCAAGGCCAGCCTGGTCTACAGACTCCAGAGCTACAGAGAAACCCCGTCTCAAAAATAAATAAATAAATAAATAAATAAACAAAAACAAAAACAAAACTGACAATGAGTGAATCGCAGTGCTAAGAATGGGACACTCATCCAGCAAGACTGATATCCTGGGAAGAAGAGAGACATTGGCAAGACAGGGAAGTTTTCTCCCATCTCCCCGTGTTTTTTGAGACACGGTTTCTCTGTAGCTCTGGAGTCCATAGATCAGGCTGGCCTCTAACTCACAGAGATTGCCTGTCTCTGCCTTCCAAGTACTGGGATTAAAGGCATGTGCCACCACCGCCCGGCTTGTTTTGTTCATGAGACAGGGATTCATGTAGTCCAGGCTGGCCTCAAATTTGCCATGTAGCAGAGGATGACCTTGAACTTCTGTTCCTCCTGCCTTCACCTCCCTAGAGCTAGGGTGTTCTATCATCTTTGACTTATATAGTGCTAGAAATTAAAGCTAGAAGGTAATGCATGCTAGGCAAGCACTCTATCCATTGAACCATTTTACCAGGGTTTAACTATCTGTTCAAGGTCTCATCTGAAAATATGCTCAGAGTAGGGACTTTTTTTCTTATGGTCCCAAAGTTGCATATTGAAATTGAATCCTTTGTGTGGTGGTATTTGGCCTGTAGGAGGTGGCCATCAATCCCTTCTAATAAAAGTGACAGAGTGAGGCATGGTGGTACATGCCCTTAGTTCCAGCAGCTGGAAGCCAGAGGCAGGAGGAGCTTTGTGAATTTGAATATACATACTGATTTCCAGACCAGCCAGAACTACATAGTGAGACTCTGGTCTCACTGAGTAGAGAGATCCTGTTTAAAAACAACTGTCAGGCAGTGCCTTTAGTCCAGGCTCTCAGGGGGCAGAAGTAGGGAGATCTCTGTGAGTTTGAGGTCCAGCCTGGTCTACAGAGTGAGTCCCAGGACAGCCAGAGGTATGCAGAGAAAACCTGCCTCAAAACAAAACAAAAACAAAAACCCAAACAAACAAGTAAACAAAAACAACAAAACAAACAAACAAACAAAAACCAATAACAACAGACAGAGAAACCAGTGAGATGGCTCAGCATGTGAAGATGCTCAGCTCCAAAGCTGATGACCTCAGTTTCATTCCCAGGGACTCACTCACATGGTGCAAAGACAGAACTAACTCCCCCAAATTGTTTTCTGACCTCACATTCACACTGGCACATGTTCCCACACATGCTCACCCACATAAAACAGATGCCATTTTTAAAACTGGTGGGGCAGAAGTTTACAATGCAGTCTGTACACATTTCTAGCACTTTCCACATTGACTCCCTATTCTGATTATTGTCTTGGGAGTCCTTTCCCAACTCCTCACACTGGGGGTATCCCAGCAACAAGGATCTTGTCTCCAGTTCTTGTGGTAATTGAGTTGCTAAGAAGGTAGATGACTGGAGGGAGTGAGGCTTGTGTCTAGGGAAGTCCACATGAGGAGGAAAAGTCAGAATCAATGGCATCAGGTACAAACATTTTATTTTTCTATAAAGAACAAAGTACAAAGAGGCAGGGGAGGGGAGCTAGGCCCAGAGGAGCAGCAGGCAGGCCCCAGGCCCTGAGCTGGCAAAGGAGGCCGTGGCAGCTACCCTAGGATTTCGCTAGGGCTTCCAGCTTGATGCTGGAGAAGGAGCCAAGGGAGGTGGTGGAAAAGCCCAAGATGGCCCCTGAAGTCACACAAAGCCTGGCTTCATGGAGGAGCGGCGGCAGTTGGGACAACTCCGAGTGCCGTTGTTCTGCAGGCATCTGTGGAGGCAGAGGATTCTGTCCACTTACCCATGCCAGACTTTCTCCATGCTCTGGCTTGTGTCTTCCTCCCTTCCAGTCTAGTGGCAAATATAAGGCTCTCAGGGCCTCCTGCTCACTTCCGGGCTGCCCTGCACCAGAGGCTTCCAGGCTAGGGCAAAGTTGGCACCTCCTGCCATCCTGGAAGTGTGGGGGGGAGGTGTCTCTCTGAATTCCCCTTGGGATAATGTAAGAACAACACCCCTCATGAGGCTGGAGGGATGTCAGTAAGCAGGTGGGAAGTTCTTAGAACACACCAAAGCCCAGGAAGGCACCCAGGAGTTTGCCCTTAATATTATTAGTGTGATCTGGGGGTCGAGCCCACCCACCGAAGGCCTCACCTGAGATGAAAGATGTGGGAGCAGGGCAGGGCCTGCAGCCGGCTGTTCTTCTCCCCGATGGACTCACCACATAGGCCGCAGTAGAGTTCAGTCTCCTCCACGCACTCGTGGAACCTCACTACGTGCGTGCGCAGCTCACGCTGCAGCCCTTTGCTGCGGTAGATGCCCTCACTCAGGCAGTGCAGCTTGAGTTGGCTCAGCTAAGACCGTGGGGACAGATCCCGTGAGAGGCTAGACAGAGGGCAGGACTAGGAAGGTGCTGTTCCTGTCACACCCCTGCCTTGCTGTGGAATCTGGGAGAAAAACCCTGCCCACCCGACTCTTGCATTCCCTTTGGACAGAGAGTGGGTGAGTTCAGAGATGAGAACATGGGACCCCATGTTTTTGTTTTGAGATAAGGTCTCACATACATAGCCTTAACTGGCCTCAAACTATATAGCCGTGGCTTGTGTAGAACTCCTGATCCTCTGCCTCCACCTCCCAAGTGCTGGAACAGGTGTGCCCTACCACACCATGTTTCTGAAGGATTTTGTTGACCAAACCTGCTGCTGTGTTATCTCTGCAATACTAATTTGCTTCCTTATTGTTATTGAGTACTCATTTCTGATCAGTGTGATACCTGGATAAACGTGAATGGCTGTAGTCCAGCCCAAAGCAAATATATTTCAACATCTTAGTTGTGCTGTGCTGTGCACCAGAGCCTACAGAGATACATGTTTTCTAGAAGACTTTGGGAAACACTAAGCTTTCTCCAAGGCTTTAAGATCTGGATACAACTGTGACATCTGAAGAAGCTAATTATACTATGAGCTTTAGCATTAAGACACAGCAGCTGGTAGCTGGGGGACCTGGGCCTCATCTATGGGATAAGATCATTCACATGGAAGGCTGCAGCCAGTATCTATGAGGATACCCAGTACTTGATACCAAGTATCCAGCTCTTGAGGAGTGGAAGACATTGCTAGGGTTGGCATTTTGGTTTTATTTTCAAGATATTGTTTTGTTTTGTTTTTCAAGACAGGGTTTCTCTGTATAACAGCTTTGGCTGTCCTGGAACTCACTTTGTAGACTAGGCTGGCCTCAGATTCACAGAGATCCACCTGTCTTTGCCTCCTGAGTGCTGGGATTAAAGGCATGCACCACTACCGCCCAGCTTATTTTTAAGAATTTAAAAATGTGTACAAGTATTTTTTGCTTGCATATATGTATGTGTAGCATGTGCATGCCTAATGCCCTTGGAACTGAAGTTACAGGTGGTTGTGAACTGCCATGTGTGTGCTGCAAACTGAATTCAGGTCTTCTAGAAGAGCAGGTAGTACTCTTAACCACTCAGCCATCTCCAGCCCCTGTTAGGGGTTTTAAATGGAGAATAAATAGGCTACTAGGGACTCAATGCTTCTGCAAGCTATGAAACGCCTGCCCAGCCCCAGAAATATTCTCTGGGAGGAAGCTGGACATCCAAGGGGTTGGGATGACTGCAAATACTTTCCAGCGGGTCAGAGGAGCTCAGAGCTCTAGCAGGGTCTCATGTGTCCCAAGCTGGCTTCCAACTCCCTGTGTAGCCAGGAACAACCTTGAACTGTGATTATCTTGTTTCTCCCACGGAGTGGTGGGATTACAGGTGTGCTCTGCTACACCAATTTCCCTCCTTTGGTTCTTGATCCCAGACCCAGGAGACAAAGTCATGTCTGACCTTATTTCCAACTTCTTCAGCCAGGTCCTGAGCTTTCTCAATAGCATCCAAAGCCTGGAGGGTGAACAGAGGCCAGAGTTGCAGGCAGTCTGACTGCCTTGACTCATGGCAAAGAAAAGGAATGTGGGCTTGGGGAGAGAAATTGGTGGGATTGTCCTGTAAGAAGGCAGAAGAGACTGTGAGCAAATTACACCCTGCCTTAGTTCATGCAGACACAATGGGTAGAACATGACTGCCTCACAGGATGCTGTGAGATAGTAGAAGGGAATTTATGAATCCCATCTTTGGCCCTCCAAAGCTGTGGGTGTCCAGGCCAAGCATGGGCCTTCTTTGAGTGCAGAGAATTACTGGGAATGTCTGGGCCTCGTGGGAACAGAGTAAAGCAGATGTTCAATAAAGGGGATAAGTCCAGCCATACCCCCAGTGTTGGCCTAGTAGCCCTGAATTGGGAGCACCAGAGGGAGCTTTAGCTACAGGATAGGGCCTGGCCTCACCTTGTCCATCATCTTCCTGGCCATCCAGCACTTGGCCACACCCAGCAGCACATGTACCTGCCCCAGGCGGTTTCCAATCTCTGTCATGATGCTCATAGCAGAGTCATACCTAGGGAAGGCTGTCTGCAAAACCAGGCAGGGTTGGATCGGAGTGATCCAGGCCGAAGACACCCCCCCACACACCTCACCCTGGGGATCTCACCTCCAGGTCCCCACGGCTTCGGTGGATATCAGCAAAGCAGAGCAGACAGAGTGCCTGCAGTGGCCGGTCACCATGCTGCAGGGCAATCTTCATGGACTCCTGCAAGGAAGGCTGGGCCCTCAGGCAAGCTGATGTGTTCCTACTATGGGGTGTCCTATACCTAGCAGCCCCTCAGATGGGACAGCTAGGGTCACCACATCCTAAGAACCTAATACATTCTTGCAATTGGTAAGGGCTCTTGCACCAAATCTTAGTGGTTCTGGCTGAACCACTAAGATCACAGTGCTGTCTGATCGATAGAAACGGGCTCAGAGAGAAGCACCTTTATTGGGACGAGAGGAGAAAGCAATGGGATTTAAGCATAAGTGGGAAATCTTAAAGACTCTCTCTCTCTCTTAGAGACTCACCAGCCAGGCCTTGAACTTCTGATCATTTTCCACCTTCCAAATGCTGGGATTATAGGTTTATAGGCATGTACCACCAAGCTGGGTTTTATGTAGGACTATAGATTGAACCCAGGGCTTTGTTTTGATTTTTCAAGACAGGGTTTCTCTCTGTAACCCTGGCTGTCCTGGAACTCACTCTGTAGACCAGGCTGGCCTCAAACACACTGATGTCTGCCTGCCTCTGCCTCCTGACTGCTGGGGTTAAAGGCGTGCGCCACCAACACCTGGCTGAACCCAGGGCTTTGTGTAAGTTAAGCAAGCACTCTACCAATTGAGCTAAATGCCTAGCCCTTATATGATGGGAGATGTCATTCTGTATATGTTTCTCATACTGGTTAATAATAAAGCACTGTTGGCCAATAGGAAAGGAAGATAGGAGGGACTAGGAGACAAGGAGGAAATAGGAAGTAGTAGGGAGGAGTCAAGATGGAGAGTCTGAAGAAAGCAGTATGCCGCCGGCTCCCCGGTAAGAGAAATACATAGATCAGCAGAAATGGGTTAATAATTAAGGCAGAGCTAGCCGATAAGAAACAAGTAACCGGGCCAACAGTATTGTATCAAATACAGAGTCTCAGTGTGTTATTTGGGGCTGGCTTGGTGGCGGAACAAGAGCAGGTGGCGGGCAGGAAACCGTACACCTTACAAATGGCGCCCAACGTGGCTAGTAAGAACTTCCACTTAAAATTTAACAAAAGGTTAAAAATGGGTTTTAGAAACAAAAGAACAGAGATAAGCAAGGTTTCTTGGTAGCAGCATTTTTCTCAGTTGGACTCTGACTTGCTAGAGACACGCAGATTGTTCGGCTCCTTTAAGGGAAGATTCCTGACTCAGCTTAAGCGGCAAAAAACCGCACAGCTTTTAAATAACTCTGCTAACAATTTATTGTTGTGTATGAGAGATGGCAATGGCAGTGACCACATCTCCAAGCCGGCAGCATGCTTTCTGGGTGGCAGCGCAGACCAAGGCGGTGAGCACAGCTTTCCATGCTGGCCGGTAAAAGTACCCGCCACCATCTTTGGTAAACCGCGGCAGAAACAAAGACTTTCATCTTAACAATGTTGTTGTTTAACAGATAAAGACTCATGGCCAGAAAAAGATAAAGATTTACAGTAGAGACAGATTCACATTAAGAAAAGGTGCTAAAAGTTTACAGTGTGTTTTAAAAAAAAAAAATACATAGGCTTGGGAGAGAAAAAATAAAATGGTTTTAAATAGACAAAGAGGAACTGGGTGTTGTAGCACACGCCTTTAATCCCAGCACTCAGGAGACAGAGGCAAGCAGATCTCTGTGATTTGCAAAGTAAACCTGGTATGCAGAGCAAATTCCAGGACAGATAAGAGTTACACAGTGAAACCCTATGTCAAGAAATAAAAAATAAAAGTAAAATAAACAGAGTAATAATAAAGCCACGTAAAGATGAAAAGCTCAGAGAGAATCTGGTTACTGTATGCTATAGTGTTGTCTCTGCATTGTTTGACTGCTGAGAAAATAACAACTGATAAAGGAAATGCTGCTGAATTAATTCAATTTATATATTTTAAAAATGCTTTGACTCCAACATTTAAGTTCAAGGACAAGTTACTGGGGAAAAGGATTTCTATTTTTGTTTCAACAGGAAATGAAAAGCTGTGGATTCCTTCCAGACTAAGGTGGTTTGAGCAAGCCAGACCGCCTGAAACAGAGTACCAGGTGATCCTACATTCAAAACTGCTTGAACAAGGCAGCCATGCAGACTACTGCCATCTTCTCAGGATCCCCCATGACAGCGCCCCCTGTCAGCAGGAAGTAGTTTGGAAAGAACGACGCCCAAATTCCCAAACATTGTTTATAAATGTTTGTTTTCATGTAAATGGACTTGGTTATAAATGGGTAATGATCACAGCCAATTCTTTTTAAAGGTAAAAAGGGAATTATGGTATAGATATGTATACTTTGTTTTGGAATGGATTTTCATTTATTGATACAATTTAAGGTCAATAAGGTGATATGTATATTTCTTCTCTTGTTTAGGTATTGTGTTTATTGAGCTCAGTTAGAAATGTAATGTATAATGTAGTACAGATTATAGATAGTTACCTATGATAGTTAGAACTTATAGTTAAGTTAGTTAGTATTTCTAGATATACAGACATATATTTGAGATGGATAGGCATTCTTCAAACCTTTCAAAGACCTACAGAATATGGCATTTAAAATGGTTTAGGGTTTTCCTGACAGTGAGACATAATTGCTCTTGGCAATACCACCTGCACCAGAAAAGAAGATGGACATTGAAGAAACTCGTTTTGGAGTTTGCTTCCAATATGGCAAGACTAGCCATTTGAACAAGATACTGCTCTTGTCTGGACTGTTTGACTTTATGCTGTATAAACTGGACATGCAGGACCCACAGAAAAGTGACTGCTGATTCAAGATGGACATTGCTACAGAGTTCCTGATTCATGGAAGAGTCTGCGAGACAGTATGCAGGACACAGAGAAAAGTGACTGATAAACTGCCAATACAAGAAGACAGTTTAAAGTTTCCTGTTTGCTGAAGAGTCTGCCAGACACACTATGGCCTATGGGCTGAAGATGGAAGATTACAGAAGAACTTCGGGTGACTGAAAAGGCAAGATGTCTCTGTCATTTCTAGAGCTTATATATTATCCTTCTGTGGTCTTTGAAGGAGTTGAAGACAGATAGTTATAGTTATAGTTTTCCTTAGTATTAAAGATAAGTTACTTTAGACACACAAAGATAGGATAGATGATGGAATATTTTCTTCAAATCTTGCTAAATGTTAATGGACTAAATAGTGTTAACTGTGATTATTTGATAACTGTTATGTGATATATTTTGCTATGTTAAGGTTAAAACCCTTCATGTTATTTTAGACAGAAAAGAGGAGATGATGGGAGATGTCATTCTGTATATGTTTCTCATACTGGTTAATAATAAAGCACTGTTGGCCAATAGGAAAGGAAGATAGGAGGGACTAGGAGACAAGGAGGAAATAGGAAGTAGTAGGGAGGAGTCAAGATGGAGAGTCTGAAGAAAGCAGTATGCCGCCGGCTCCCCGGTAAGAGAAATACATAGATCAGCAGAAATGGGTTAATAATTAAGGCAGAGCTAGCCGATAAGAAACAAGTAACCGGGCCAACAGTATTGTATCAAATACAGTCTCAGTGTGTTATTTGGGGCTGGCTTGGTGGCGGAACAAGAGCAGGTGGCGGGCAGGAAACCGTACACCTTACACTTATATTTTACTTTTCAAAGTGGCATAGAGGCTGCTGGGGACAGGGAAGCTCCTTGCCCTGAGGATGGACTGAATGAAGGGGATAAGGTCTGAGGCACAGTTTGCACAGTTTGTGATAGAAATATTCTCTTCAGTGGCCAATGGCAAGCCGTGTGTGTGTGTGTGTGTGTGTGTGTGTGTGTGTGTGTGTGTGTGTGTGTGTGAGAGAGAGAGAGAGAGAGAGAGAGGCAGAGACAAGAGAGAGAGACAGAGACAGAGAGAAAGAGATTCTGTGGTCTGTTCTAGAAAATAGGGAGCCTAAGGTCCTCTCCCACCACATCACCTGAGTGTTTCCCCACCTCACAACACTCCATGGCGCTGCCCAGGTGGCCTAGCAGGCGGTAGGCCACAGCCATGTGGTATTGGCTCATGGCCCGATACTTGAGGCTCCAGCCTTTGCCATAGTCGTTGACAAGCTCTGCAGCCTTGCAGGGAAAGAACAGGGCTTTCTCATAGTCCTGCAGGGACACAGAACAGGAGGGGACACATTGAGTGGTAGGAATTGCCCTAAACCCAGGGCTCTGGACCTGGGTTTTCTGACAGCCAGGGAGCACAGCCAGGGAGCCCCAATTTTTTTTAATGTTTCTCAGGCTAGCTGCAAACTTATAGTCCTCCCTACTATGTTTCCTGAGTACTGGGATCACAGATATGCACCCACGGTGATCATAGCTCATTCATTCATTCTGGCCTCCATTAGTAAGCATGATCCAGGTAGAAGGGCAAGCCAGTGCACGGGTATGGCCTCTTGGGATTGCTGCTGAATGCCAAGAGCCTAAAACAATTCTTAGACTTAGGTGATGCATATTAAATATTTGTTCATTGAATGAAAAGGCAAAAACACAGCTGGCTTCCCCTCTCACCCAGACCCAGATGGGCTTCTTGGTTGCAGAGCCATACAGGGAGAGCTTTATCGAGCTTACAGGAGCAGCAGCTCCTGAGGCCTGAGACAGTTCCATCAGCAACAGCACCAGAGAACAGTGGAACAGGCATGGCGTGCCCATGAAATCCTTCTCAAATGCTTTCTCCTCAAACCCACAAAACAGCCCCCATAAAGAGCCAGCACCCTTGCCTCCCACTCTTCAGGAAAGCAGGAGCTCAGATGAGTGTCCTTGCCCACTCTTAGCCACATCTGCCCTACATCCATGCCATGGGAATCAACCCCCAGACCCAAGCCCTTATGTCTACATCATTAAGTCTCTCTACCGAATCTTCTACCTCACACAAACATGTCCTTACAATTTTCACCTCATTTAAAACCTAACTCACTTGGCAACCCAGCACCCAGAAAGTGGAGGTGGGAGGATCGGGAGTTCAAGGTCAGCTTTGGCTATATGTGGAATGTGAGGTCAGTCTGGATACACGAGACCCTGTCTTTAACCAACCAATCAAACAAATGGACCAAAATGTTCTATCTTTGAGAAAGAAGGATTGAGTTTACAATTGATGGAAAGCAACTCCTAAACACTCGGCTTTGGGTGGAAATAGCCCTGCTGTATGAACTGTTCTGGCAGCTGAAAAGATTTAGCAGCAGACAGTGAGGCAGTTGTGAACACCTTGGGACCCACATCTAGAATTCAAACACTATTGTCCACTGAAAAGAACCTGAGGGGACAGCAGGTTTCACACCTAGCCCAAAGGATGTTCAAAATGAGTCCGTGGCTCTTCATTGTGTTTAATAAACAGAGAGTAATACAACACTAGTCAAAAGGATATGGGGTCAAGGTTGGAGGGTCTTCTATTAGGCAAGGTTAAGATAACACAAGCCAAGCAGTGGTGGTGCATGCCTTAAATCCCAGCTCTCAGGAGGCAGAGGCAGTATCTCTGAGTTCAAGGCCAGTCTGGTCTACAGAATGAGTTCCAGGACAGCCAGAACAACATTGAGAAATCCTATCTCAAAAAAACAAAACACAAAACAAAACAAAAAAACAAACAAAAATGTAAAAATAAAATTAAAAAAGAAAGAAGAAAAACTATAGAAGACTGGAAGGATGATTGAGCATTTGCTGCTATTTCTAAGACCTTGGGTTCAATTCTCAGCACTTACATGGCTACTCACAACTATCTGTAACTGAAGTTCCAGAGGTGACCCACACACCCTTCCAGCCTCCACAGGCACTGAATGCATGTGATGTAAGACACACACACTGGTAAAACATCTCTACACATCAAATAAGTACATCTTAAGGGGGAAAAGTACTCAGTTGTTAGAGTACTTGCCTAGTGTGCCCAAGCTTGGGTCCCCAGCCCTACACAAACCTGTTAACATGGTTCAGGGAGTGACAGTAAGTAGGTCCTTCCAGCTTCAGGGCTGAGGTTGCCCTTTCACACCCAGCTTGTTAACCCATCCTGCAACTGGCCAAACTGGCTTCAAACTCAAAGAGATCCACCTGATTCTGCCTCCCAAGTACTGGGATTAAGGGCATGAGCCACCATTGCATGGCTTACTTTTTGATTTTTTTGAGATAGGGTCTCATTCTGTAGCCATCGCTATCATGAAACTCACTATACAGACCAGGCTAACCCTGAACTCACAGAGATCTGGGATTAAAGGCATCCACCATGATTTTAATTTTGCATTTTTTTTCAGCAGACTATTTTTCCTCAATATTTGGTGTGTGTGTGTGTGTGTGTGTGTGTGTGTGTGTGTGTGTGTGTGTGTGTGTGTGTGTGTGCTGGCAACTGTCAACCTCAGATGTTATTCCTTGTAATCAGATATTTGCTGTTCTGACTGCCCGGTCCCAAATAAATGACTCCAAGGCTGAATATGAATTATAAATGCTTGTTTGATAGCTCTTACAACTTAACCAATTTCTATTAATGTATGTGCTGCCCCAAGGCTTGTGGCTTTAACCTCTGTCCCATCTTGTGTGTCTGACTCGTTCTGCATCTGGCTGTTGACTCTTCTGACTCCACCCGTCTTCTCATCATTCTCAGTTTGGCTTTCCCACCTAACTTTCTGTCCAGCCATCAGCCTGTCAGCTTCTTAGTAAGTAAACAAATTGCAGTGACAAATCTTCAGTGTACAAAAGGATTTTCTACAGCAGTTCGTTGGTTCCATTTGACTTTCGTGTCTCTGTGTGTGTGTGTGAACAAGTCTCTCACTGGCCCAAGTCTCTCAGGTAGTCTAGGCTAGCTGACCAGTGATCCCCATAGATAATGCCTGTCTTCAACCCCAAGGCACGGAGATCACACCTGCCTTTTTCACATGGGTTCTAGAAGTTGACTTTAGGTCCTCAGGCTTGCATAGCAAGCACTTTACCAAGGTAGCAGCCTTCCCAGCCCTACAGCTTCACACAATTTAAAATGAAGGACTTCTGCAGGTGAATAGCTTAGTGAATGAAGGTGTTTTCAGGTAAGCCTGACAACCTGAGTTTGAACCCTGGGGTCCACTGAGTAGAAAGAAAGAACTGACTGATAAAGGTTGTCCTCTGACCACACTTACACACATATCAGTTATAAAATATAACAAAATAAAAAACTTAAAGAAAGGAATAAAGAAAAAGCAGGACACAGATCTCTCAAACATAGCATTCTTACCCAAGATGAGTGACCTCATCTTACCAAATTTCACTGGAGGTGAAAAAGGAAGTCTCACAACCCAAAGAAACACAAAAAACAAGACAGGAAAAATGAGACGCAACATTCTACAAAGCAGTTAATTTGGTTTCTTCAATGTGTCATGTCTATTTGGAGACATAAAGACACAGTAAGTGTATCCCTGGTTATATTTTGCTTTCAACAAGCCAAGGGTAAGGGAGAAATGTAAATACAGACAGGGAACTCAGAGGTTTAGCTGCTTTCTGAGATTATGATAACGGTGTGTATGAGAACAGTTACTGTGATTATGTAAGAAAGGGTTACTGGGAAACAAAAATCTTTTTCAGATTTAGTGATGCATATAGTGTGAGCCCCTTGAGGCACACGAGTGGCCAGGCCCCTCCCCTGAGGACCGCCAACTGCCAGGTCCCACCCACAGAATATCTGGACCCTGCCCATGCACTACAGACTGAAAAGCCCTGAACTTGATATTTCCATTCCAGAAATCTTCACCCCAGAAAATTCCATTCCGGTCCCCAAGGAACTCCATGTGACCCTGCCTTCTGTTCAGTTCCCTGATGTTTCTCTGCTGAGCAGAGCCAGCCATGCTTCTGGTTTTTCTCCCAATAAATCCCATGTGAGGTTTGTTGTGCAGTGTGACTTTATAATATTCCTGAGCTCCCAAATGCCCAGATACCTTCCCATCTGAGCTATAACGCTTACATTTAATGCCAAAACTCGGGATAGGCTCTCCTTGTGTTTGTCCTGGAGCCTAAGCTGCAATGGGACCCTACCCCTCACCTCCAGTCCACCACAACACTCACCTTCTAGCTCAGCATCCATCCACCAATGGTAACTAGGGAAGTTTCCCTTTTGGTCAGTGTGAATATTTCCCTGAGTCCAAGGAAGTGACCATTGAGTGTTCAGCACGCCCTCTGGTACTCTTGGAGGCAGAGGTACCCCCAGCCACAGCCTTTAAGGGTATGGCTGGCTCTCTTCACCTGACCCCACCCCTTGGAGCTGCAATCCTGAGACCCAGTGGGGCTGTTATGCTCTGCTGCCCTGTGCCCCTTCCTGTCCTCTTCTCCCACCTTCCCTTCTGAGCTGCCTGTAACCCACTCATGGCTTTTGTGAGGCCATTCTCCAATCCCCCTCTTGGAGCTTGGTTTTCATGCTCCCCTTCTGCCCTCTATGAAAGCCCTGGTACCAGGTGCCAAGTCTCTCCTATGGCTAAGCTCTTGGCCCCCATTTAGTGGAGTGATGACCCACTGAATGGCTTGGTCCCTGTTTGGTACTCCCTGAGTCCTGGAGATGCCTGCAACCACAGGCTACAGAGACATTTTCCTTTCCCTCTCTCACTATGGGACCAGTGTCTTCCATACCCTCTCATTCCCTGTGGGATGCCTCTTAGAAAACCTCCAGCTTCTGCCAGGTGTTGGTGGTGCACACTTTTAGTCCCAGCACTTGGGAGGTAGAGGCAGACAGATTTCTGTGAGTTCGAGGCCAGCCTGGTCTACAGAGCTAGTTACTACCCAGAGAAACTCTGTCTCGAAAAGAACAAAACAAAACAAAAACAAAAACATCTGGCTCTGGGTATGGTTCCTCTAGACACAAGCATGCTTGGTTAAAGTTTTCTTCTGATATCATATCATATCGTGAAAGTAACTTGATCATGTGACAGATGAGATCAAAACAAAATGAAGGGGCAGATCATTCCCAATAGCAATGATATTGCTACTCATATCATACTCTTTTGGTTTTAACTCTCTAAAATTTTGCTAAGGTATAAATCTTATGTCAAGATTTGTAAAATTATTGTGTAAATTTCCTGTATTTCAAGATTCATAAGCATATTGGGTATGATTTAAAAAAACTGTAAAATAGGTAACAAAAGGGTTAATTGGAAACTTACAACCCCAGG